CTGCCATGACCCAAGGGAACGGTCCTGGACCAGGAGAAAGGACACCTCCGCAAAGGGCTAAGGGTGCAGGAGCTCCAGGGTGGATCACCTGTGCAGAAAAGTGGATGGGATGTGGGCAGGTAGTGTGGAATGTAGGACATCCACCGGTCCTTATCAAAAGTACGCTCGAAATGAGTCGTTCACTTATTATCTTATCCGTAGTGTTCGATAGCCCAAAGAACTGCTCTCTAGTACTACGGATAAGATAGCAATGGAGTGCCCCCCCCCCCCCCCCCCGAACTGGAGTTTCACCGACAAAATCATTACTTTGGAACGGAGCTTAGTCGTGAAAAAACAGGGTAGTAAAGGGATCTCCTAAGACCTGTATAGGATACCGACCAATTCCTCGACACTTCCCTGTCATATGTTTCTCATCGACCGTAGATTTTATGATAGCTCATGCACTCGAAGTCCCGTCTGGAAGCACATCGTTAATTGACTGTAAAGCTATTCCGAGTTGAATAATAAGTTCGAGATGAACCACAAACATATATCTTAATCCTCGTTCCTTTTCGTCAACTCAACGAAATTCGCCGCCCGATTATGGTATGCCGTGTTCCAATATACGTTGTGAACGTGCTCGTTTGAGAAAATTCGGTGCTTTTCTTTCCCTCTGGTTTTCTATTTTCGAAAGTGCGCTGCCGCTGAAGCAGAAAGGGTCAAGTTAGCTATGAAGCACGACTTTCAGTCGAAATCAAAATGTCATTCATAAAAGGGTCAGCCGTCAAGTTGGGACAAATTTTGAAATTGGGCAGCCTTCTTCCAAATTCCCCTTCCACATACGACCCCTACAGTGTCGTTGAACCCAGTTCATCCTGGCACAGTTGGAGACCTCGCCCCAAAACACCAATGTGCAATATAACTGTTGAATCCATGCAACTTTAGAGATCTCTTCAAAATTCGCAAAAAAATCAGCTTCTCCTCCTTATGTCTATAAATACGAGCCTTGTCTCCAGATACAAACTCCTCGCTTGGCAAGTTCCAACGAACAGTTGGCCCTGGTTCTAGCGCGTACAGCCCCAGCAAGAATTTTTTGCGAGCTGGCCGACTTATCATTCCATGTACCAACAACCCAAACCCGGAGAAACAGAAGGCCTGCTTGACGTGGACAAGACTTGATATCGAACCATAGTAGCAGAATACTTGTCACTCTTTCACTATTTTCCGCGGGCAAAACGAAATTTTACAGCTAATTCCGGGTACCGACAGGAGGCCCGTCGCGCGGCAACAAGGCAGAGTCAGCGGACGAGTCGCAGCGCGTACTGTAGTGATTTCGCGTCAAGTTAAATAGAATGTACCATTGTACGTCCTACATCGCACAGCACGCGCTGCGACTCGTCCACTGACTTGCCGCACGACGGGCCTCCTGTCGGGTACCCACTAATTCTATCATAACAAATCTTCAGGAAATAAGTGGAGGCGAGGTGCAATAATTCATAGGGAATACAGTAATCCTGATATTTTTACGGGAGAAGGAGTTCTGAAGTCGCTGGAACATTTCTTTTGTGCAAAAGGGAAAACGATTAGTAGATTTTCAAAGCGTTTACAATAAAAAATCGTCCATCGTGGTTTTGAATGCGCTGGGCGTTCTGCAGCGAGATGCCTCCTTCCCTTGGTTCGGATGGACCCTCTTCCGTTCTTGCCTTTTTGCCCTTCGACTCTGCATGCGGTACCTCTACCGGCAAAAAGCCCTGGAATGCGGTAACCTTTACCAAATCAACCGGCCTGCTGTCTCAAAGTTCAAAATTGGGCGGGGAAGGGGAGGAGGTGATGGTGATGTATTTAGGGTCGGAGAATACCAAAAGATCTAAAAAGCAGGCGTCGTTTGGTGGAAAATGTTGCGGTCTTGGACCGCGGCGGGGGTTCCGACGCCTTTCCGGAAATACTTAGAATTTAGAAAAACTCCAAAAAGTAAGGATAGAGGGGTTGAAATTAGACAACCTTCAATTAGACTTACTTATCCCCTCACCACCCGTCCGATCGATCCCCAGAGATATAAGCTGTGGACTGCTCAGAGAAATCGAATACGGCAGTCATGTCCTTGTGAGGGGGTGGGGGGCATCCAAGTGCGTGAGCCAATTTTAGTGTGCTTGGGACTAAGCGAGAGAAGCATCATGGGAGAGCCAGGCAGCCAACTTGTGTATCTCCCTGCCGCACCTCCCCTTATCGTTAGTTGGCTTAGTCCTAATCTCATCTACCATCGGCCCTGTTTCTGATGTCCTCCCCCCTTCCCCCCAAAGGACATGAGAGCCTCGAATACCATAGAAGCAGCGATAATGAGGAAGGTGGTGGTCGATGGTCGTAAACACTTGGTAAAGGACCAACGTTAATGCTGACCCTACTTCAACTGCTCAAAGACGGCTCAACCGCTGAGGATATAGCGTCAAATATGGTGTAGAGTACGTAATCCACAGGATCCAAACATTATAAGCGACGCCAACTTTTGTGTGAACCGTTTTCGTCGTACACTTTTTGAAGTGCAATACGGTAATCGTCGCGTGATTTTTTTAATGGGTGGTCGGCCGACAGGGTCCACTTCTCAGTTTGGTCGGCTTCTCACGTTTTTCGCGAAACTTCTTGAGTGGGGGCGGTGGGCGGCAGTTGGCACAGATGTCGACGCCTGTCAGCTGTGACTGGCACGCCCTCGTGGTGTGTGATAACCCCTCCATCGGCCTGAAAATCTCATAAACGCGATCGGTATTGTTCTCTCTGCTCCTCGTATCCTTAAAGTCCGTACCATGTCAATCGATAATTCATCAAATGGAATCGCACAGAAAGTGCATCATTGCTGAGGAGATGGTGCTGCATAATTCATTTCAGAATGTATTCCATTGATTGCTCGTTTTTCGAAAACATCTTGTGTCTGTTCCTGTACTCATGTCTAGGTATCGGAGTGCTCTCATTTGCTAGAGCGCTCTGGAATGTTACATTTATCGTTCTGTTTACTGTTCGCATTCCTATGTTGTTCCTATGTTTTGAAGTTCCAAGTGCAAGTTTTCGCGCTTTCAGTCGGATGACTGAGTGCTCCTGATGACATTCTCTAGACGTCGCTTTCGTACAGTATTACTGGCGGTATTTTTAGCATTCAATCTACGAAGTTGTTTCAGTGGATGAATCACTGTTCCGCCTGCTTCGTGCCTAATGTTTGCGAAGTGATGCTATCGTTTCGAAGGTAGAGCGCGTTCGGCGGCCATTTCTCTGATTCGTTTGCCTGTAGTTTCGAAAAGGTGTCATTTTACTATGGAACATCGTGCGAAGCGCAACTTTGAGCAGATTTGCGAAATCCATTAATAGTTTTCTTGATTGGCTTAAAAAAACCAAAAGTCGGAAATTTCTCGAATAGTCAGCAATTTAGCAAATCTCATTGAAAATCAAATCTCATCTTGAAAAATTTCTCGAATAGTCAGCAATTTAGCAATTCTCATCTTGGCCATTCATTGCATTAGAAAATAGTCCATGCACGCTGAATGTTTTCTCATTTCGACGACCGTTTCGGTTACAACCGTGGGCGCAATGTAGCTCCGAGGAGGGGAGGGCTGACGGATACTTGCTCACAAGGAAAGGATGGTAGGTCGAAGTGGCCGTATAAAATGAGATGTATACCACCTGATGCGTCTCTAGACGCTGATTCCAAATCTGCCTTCCAAATCTGCTAAACGGTGAAGCGTAATAGCTCAGTGGTGATGGTCCGGGGTGGCAGGTAAAAGCTCGTAGGATCGGTTCCTTTGCAAGTTTGTTGCTTTGCTTTTGTCCGCAACACTTCTAGAGACAAAAGCAAAGCAACCAATTGCAAAGGAACCGATCCTACGAGCTTTTACCTGCCACCCCGGACCATCACCACTGAGCTATTACGCTTCATAACTCCGTTCGGAGAGTCGTTTAGCAGATTTGGAAGGCAGATTTGGAATCAGCGTCTGGAGACGCATCAGGAGGTATACATTTCATTTCAAACGGCCACTTCGAAGACTTACATCTTCCTGGTCAGCCCTTTTAAACGCCGCTCCGTTCATCTTCGTGGGTCTCCGGGGGGGGGGGGAGGCCTGTAACATAGCGTCAGATTCACGAAAACTCTCAGTTTTGAGACTAAGTGGAGGAGAAGTGGGAATTCGAGTTGCGTAAGCAATTTCATCCGCTCCGGAATTCGTCCCTTTGCGTTAGGCTAACAAGAGAGGTTTTCAGGGCAAGGTGCGCTTTTTCAAAACGGTTTTGTGCATATTGTAGGGACGCATGTAGGGAACGCAAAACCATGTTTCATTTTCGCTGAACGGTTATAGCAGTACCAAAAAAGAAGCATAAGGTACTGTTAAGGGTTCGATCCCCCGTGGCGACTAAATTTTGCATTTGGGTTGGCGCCTACGGTTTGGTGCCAAATTCGCGCTAAATATCAAAATCAGATGTCAAATTCTATCGTCAGAACCATTTTGAAGCCAACAAGTGGCCGCCAACCTTGATTGCAAAATTTAGTCGCCGGGGGATTGAACCATCAAGAGTATTATTCACCACTTTTTTGGTACTACTAAAACCGTTCAGCGAAAACGAAACATGGTTTTGTGGTCCATACATGCGTCCCTACAACATGTACTAAACCGTTTCCAAAAAGCGCACCTTGCCCTGAAAGACCTCCCTTGTAAGTCCTAGTGGCCTTCGACTGAGTGCCTCCCTCCGGAGGTACATTGCGCCCATACGTGCTTATTAGTAATGTTTGAGCTGCTTTTAGTTCTTTGGATTGTCACAGTTCTGGACTATGGGTATAGTACATTTCCCTAAGGAAATTTGAGGAAGAACTTGTTATATTGAGCGCTTATGCCTTCTCAACACTGCCTATTTTGTTTCATTACATCCTCTTGTATTCAGAATCAGAATCTTCTGAGTATTTTTTGTAGTCGTCGAATTCGTGTTTTCATACTTCCATCAGTTTTCATTGCGTCGCTTCGTAACTATTTACTCTTTCATAGGTAGACATGAGTGCCAAGAAATGTGCTCGTGAGGAATGCGGGAAAACAGTGTATCCGATAGAAGAGCTGAAGTGCTTAGATAAAGTTTGTTTTGTCAATAACTAAATGTGTTCCCATGATATTTGTAGATATAAAAATGCTTTTAGGTTTGGCATAAAGGGTGTTTTAAATGCACAGTATGTGGAATGACTCTAAGCATGAAGAACTACAAGGGCTACGACAAAAAGCCTTATTGCGAGCCGTTCGTTATTACATTCTCTTCTTTTTTTTTTTTTTTTTTTTTTTACGCTTTCAAAATCGAAGTTGTTTTTAGGCACTATCCCAAGACTGTGGCCTCTGTCGTAATGGATACACCTGAAATGAGACGTGTTGCAGAAAATACCAAGAATCAAAGTCAAGTTAGTGTGTGATAATTTTTGTCCTACCCACTAGTAATCAGCGTCACGAAACCATTTAATGGCGTATTCGGTGAAACGAAGCATCGGTTGGCAATAATGGGTTTGCGCCGAACGATTTTGTGTTATCTCCTGGGTTTTCCGAGGAAATCATCAAGGTCTGGCGTCTTACAGCGCAATTGTTACAGCATCGTAGAAGCATCGAGCAATGGGGGTAGATCGATTGAGCCTTCAAGCATCCGCATTATTATGAATGCTACTTATAGAAGTTGGGCCTCTTCATCAGGTGAATATGTGGCAGGTTATAAAAGGTGTCTTTTACGTTCTTGATCCACACAGTGTAGATTATTGCGGAGCAAGGTATAGCACGCTTCGGCAGGTCTAATTTTTCAAAAGCCTCAATGTAAGTAAATTACTGCCCTTCCCCACCCCTCAATCATTGAAACCTTAGAGGCACTTTCCTAGGGGACTAACTTTTGTCTAATATTCGTCTCTTCGCCTCCTCCCAGCTTCTTTTCGTAATCCTTTTATTCATGCCTTCCATGAGGGTTTTGCACATCATCCGTTGAGCGCAGACATCGTTGCTTATATGTTTGAGAAAATAATAAAAGGGGAACTGTGAGAAATAGCGTTTTTAAGTCTGCTTCGTCGTGACCTGTGGTATTCCAATATTAGGACCGCTTGCATGCCCAGCACGCTTTCTGGTAGTAGGCAGTCGTAGTAGATGTGAAGCTAAAGGATGTAAACCGTAGGGGTTGTTTCAGAGCAGGCTTTGTGGAACACCGGCTCTTTGATGTTTTGTGAGGCAGCGAATAGGCACCTCGTCACGTTAATTAATTTTTTTTTCAGTACAGATGAATTCTCAATAAGTTGATTTAGACTGCATGCATTTGGTAGAAGAATGTCGGCAAAATTAGTTTAGCAAAAAAAATCCTTGCATCATCGCTTTAGTCAGCTGCAGGCAAGCGGTGCCGAATATTCTACAGCTAGAAACCGATATTAACACCTGTTACCTTCCTTCTGGTTTTTCTGTAGATGTCATGTGGCTTGTTTCAGGTGCAGTATCACGCCGCCTATGAAAAAACCAAAGGAACCAAGATTGAAGTAGCAGATGATCCGGAAATGGAGCGTCACAGAAAAAACATGCAGGTAAAATGCGTTGCAATGGAAAATGAAAGAAAATTGCTAAAAAAAACAAGAGGCAGTGTTATCAGCTTCATACGCACATGTGATATTCAGTAGTGATGTGCGAGTCTTACATGGAATTCCTGACCAACGTAAAATTCAAAAAATTAAACAATAATTTCAAGCAAAGAGCAAAAAGTAAACCAGTGTAGATTTTCTTCTGTTCGTTTGTAGGTTCTTTGTTCTTCGTAGACGTTTCGTTTTCTGTTACATATGTGTAACTAATATTGGAAGGCGAACTCTGAGATTTAAACATAATCGTAGGCTCCCCCACTTTCTTCACACTTTGGGGCGCGGACGAGTCGGTAGTGCCCGCGAACTGTGCGGGTAAATTTGAAAACGCTCCATCAGCACAGTTCGCGGGCACTATCAACTCGTCCGCGCCCCGAAGTGTGAAGAAAGTGGGGGAGCCATAACCGTATAGTACGGCACAGAATAAGACTATGCGCGTTTTATTTGAAGAAGGGTATGCGGATTCTTTATCTTACATGCTACTCACCTCGAGGTTGCCATTTACTACTGCCAATACACCGGTGCCGAAAAAATCCCCAAGAAGCGTTTCGAAGAAATCAATGAAATACACTTCAGAAGATCATTTATGGTGTAATTTTTTATATAGGTTTGACTGAGTATTTCTATTTTTAGGCACAATCACAAGTCGCCTATACTGGAGAATTGGATAAAAGGAAAAGAATGGAAGAAGTTCGTCCGACTTACGTGCCAGCAGAAGCTTCTGGTTAGTGCAGTTTTTAACATCTCAACTTCACAGAGGAGATGAACGTCAATTAGAACGATTTATGAAATTCTGCTATGTTTCTATTTATATTTACATAAGTGAAGATTGTATTGCATATACTGTGCATTCTGCTGATGTCTGTTAACATATGAAACACTTTGGAATAATAGCAAAGCTCAAAGGAACGCAAGGTCTGTCAAGAATACTCCTCTGTTCAGGCAAATCAAAAGAGGCAAAAGAGGAAAAACTACTGTTGCAGGGACGGCACAATCTAAAAAGAGGCCAAAAGAGGACAAAAACCGAAATTACAGCAGTAGACGGAAAAACACCCAAAAAGTGCACAAGTGCGTCAAGCAGCTCCAACCGAAAGGATCGTAAGCTGCAAGCAGTCAAGAGCATCCAAATGAAGCTTATGAAAAAATGCTATATATATCCATTGCAATACCCGCTTATTTCGCTGCTTCATGAAGTTTTACTAGGCTTAAAGATCTTGTGAAGATGCATTTAATCTTGTAGTTGGCTTACTTGGCTTAAGTTCTTGCTTTATAGCATGCTAGTCAGTCGTTCTCAGTAATGGATGCTATTTTGGCGTCAGCCGTTCTATGGTGAGCCCAGTTTGCGTTTGCTCATTTCCTCACTGCTCAAATGTGTCATGCTTGCACCCCTATATAAGCAGCTTCTAATTCTCGTTTAGTGTTGCAGCATACAAAGTAGGTTGGAATTTCAAACATTGAAACAGTTAAAGTCGACTTGACAATTTGGGTGGGAGAGCAGTGTAATAAAAAACATTCGCAAAAATATGTTCAGCGCACTGAGGAAGAATGCAGCTACATTGAATGATATCCTAGATATCTGCGTATAATTATTGGATTCTTAGCTTTAGGGTTTTTATTATCGATTAATTCGAGCGCGAAAATACCATGGAACATGATTGCGTTTTTTGAAGTCGAAAACCAAATCCTTTAGTCTTCACATCAATTCTGGAATAGTTCTTTTTATCAGTCTAGGACCCTTTCCCACCGTATTTGTAGACATTTTCAACGTTCTTATCACTTTTTGGAACTTCCTGAATCACTTCTGAGCAATCTGGAAGATGATATCCTTCATCAGCCACAATGCATTTCTACTTGACTGGCTGCAAATTCACACCTGAAAGCGCGCTTTGTGAAAGCAGATGCCATTTTTCTATGAATCCCCTTCTTTTCTTATATACAAAATTGACGATGCGAAAGTTATCAAAAAAGTGAATTTTTGAGAACAGTAAACGGCGTGGTGATCGGATATAGAAAACAAAGTGTCTGAGAACAAAAAAAAAACAAGAAAGTGTTCCATTACTAGTTATTTTATATTTTTATGTAGTCACGCAAACAGTTACGCGCTACACAGATTTGTCAAGCATATAAGAGGTTATTAAGCTTACAAGCTTGTTCTTTAGTTCAAGAAAATTCAGATTTTCCGCAAGTGTCCATTATTTCTCTGAGTAGCATGTAATGGATTACTAACTTACAAGTCTGCGCTAGGTATTTCACATAATTCCGGCGTTGGATTTGAAAATATTATTAAAGAACAATGCGGTAGGCACCGCTAAAGATTGATGTCAAGTTGTCGGAATTCGTGAAGACGGCCTGGTCAGCAAAAAGCACTGCAACAAACCCGTGTCATGAAGGTCAGCGTGAGGCCTGGCCTTCATAATGCACAATTTAATTCACTAATATAGTTAGTTTTTGTTTTATAATAATTTTTTCAATAGTATGAGACGGTGCAGTTCATTACTGTGAAGTAGAATTTCATGTCCTTCACCTGTAGTTTCCGAGCTGTCAGCTGCAAACTTTGCTATCTATTAGTGTGGCCCTTTAGTCGCGTTCATACTCATCGTTCGAGAGGGTAGGATAGGAAAATGGTAGAAGAAACCAACTTCTCACGAGATCTTCTACTCCTCTCTCTTTATCAATGCGTATTTTTTGCCGACTTCTCGTTTCTCCCTATCCCAAAACGGCTGAGTCAATGAACATGCAACACTTGAATTCGACCCACTGGTAGCGATAGCTTAGCTGATCATGGATTCAAAACTCATCGCGGGTAAATGATCTGTAGCTATGTAAGCTTGATATACGGAGAGTAAGTCTTTTTCTATTAACTTCTTGTAATGTCTTCGGACGAGCTTCCTCCAAATGGTGCGGAGTTACGGACCGATGTCGTGGCGTGGTACTAGTACATACTCGTCAGTAAATAGATTACTTCCTACGGAATGTCGTTTTATCTGGCGGCTGAGCAGAGGTGTTGGTGCGCTCGACCATTACAGAAGAATGCGTGTTCCATTCCCGATTCGGAAGGAACCATATACTAATCGCATCCCAACGCGCCTGGGCATCAAGTCGAACGATTAATTTTACGTCGAACTGATAAGCGAGCTTGCTCCCACGGCATGTATGATTTTGTGAGAGAGCAAGTGCTTATTTATTTCCAACAGGTTGTGTGCTTTGTACTGAGATGTCAGGCCAGACTTTCGAAAACGTGACGCACCGTACGTATGTAACTTGCATAGCTTGTATTCATAGATGCTCATATTTGTTGAGCTAACACGCGTTGTATTCTGGTGTGTTTCCTTTTAGTCTGCTAGGCTGCAGAGACTGAGATTCTCAGCGCAGACAGGCGTATGCCCGGCACAAACGGTCGTCGTGCGCAGCATAGCTGATTATGATCAGCCTTATTGACGACGGAAACCTGGAGTCATCCTGCAGCCAGCGAAAGCAAGACATGAACGACGCAAAACCAGTGAGTGCTGAGCGTAGCACTGCCTGACAGATTTGGCCTTTGTCTTTTGCATCTCTTTGTAAGCTTCAAGTGTCTGCTAACCTCCCGACACGCTTTACACTACTTTGTTTCAACAGCTATTATCCCCAGTCGCAAAACTCTTTTTGCGCGTAAAAGAAACAGGTGCCTGAGTCTACGAAAATACGTCGAATGTTAACCTGCCAACTTGGCTACCTGCGGCACGTAGAGCTTGATCAGCCAGAGTTGAGCAGGTCTACAGCTGAACACGAGAGAACTGGCGATAAATGCGGGGGATAAAGGCGATAACGGACGATAAGTCGGAAAGCAGACAGAATTGTATGCCAACATATCACAGCCACGTGTTTGCTATTGCTGAGTAATGGGACAATGGTACACGATTCGCCGTACCAGTTTACAGGAGCCATTCTCTCATTGCACATGTGTCGCAGAAGATGTAATATAACGCAATGATGCACCAGGTTGAGTTGCTCGATGGCGGAGTAGGCGGACTTCCCTAAAGTGGCCAGGCGTGATCCACAATCTAGGTGGCTAGACAATTGTTATGGTTCACGTTGCGGGTGTGGGAATTGCGCTGAAAAATACAACGAAGACCCCTGCAGGGATATCCGTCATACCCCAGAGCCTGTAAGGAATACCCAACTTAGTGTAACTCTTTATTGTCGCTATGTGTATGGAGGTATCCCTACTTCTCACGGCCTGGCCTGGTTGGAAAGCATGCATCCTACGGAATACGCTACATACGCTACATATTGCATAGCAGTCAGTGGTGGTACTCCTTATTATTGGCATATTTGTGGCAGCTGCCAAACGCAAACGTGCAGCTATTATTGTTTGTGGTTGCAGCCACATGTGTGTACCTCCCTTTCAGAAAACGAGAAAGCGTCGGGTGCAGACCATACACCACAAGTGACGACGGCCTCCACAAAATGTAAATGTTTTCTGCCAATGAAATGATTAGCCTGTTGCAGTTGTATTCTATCAGTTGTCACTAATTACAACTATCATTTACCAAAAATCAGCTATCACTATGAACCACTACTAACCAGATTTACTTGGAGGCCGTCGTCACTTGTGGTGTATGGTCTGCACCCGACGCCTTCTCGTTTTTTGGAAGGAAAGTATGTGAAGATAAAAATGTGCTAGAAGAGAAGGAAGTATCACACGAAAGTCTAATAAGAAGAGTTTCTTCTAGTCTCGGCCGGGGAGTGCTACATGCGACCCTGATGCGTCATATATTTAGCAGTAGTAATGTTGGGTGTCAAGTTTCTTCGAATAAAAGAAACAAAACTAGTGTAGGATATGGGTAAAAACTGGATTGTCAATGTACTATGAATATCTTTGTATCATAATATCGAGGACCACTTTCGAAAAGTAGTAGCCTTAAAATGTGTTTTGATTTTAGGTTCAGAAACCCGATACTGTCTCGATTTTACAGAAAGTGGACGTAATGCTGCGTCCGGTGCTGCTAAATCTCTTTCACCAAGCGGAGCTGCTGGATTTGCTGTGAAAGCAATTTATGACTACACCGCTGCAGATAAAGACGAAGTGAGGGGTTTACTTTACGCCTTTGTGGATCTTCTGAAATTGTGAAAATTCAGTTATCAATTTGAGATTGGGCATCTTATTAAGCTGGGATGAATAGAGGAAAGCAAGGCAAGGTAGGTTAAGAAATAGCCCAGCAGGTAATCAAGGTGTTATATTTGATTGATCGGCACTGCTCAGTCGCAGCTTGATCGTTCTGGATTAATACTGGTAAACAAGCAGAATGTTATAGAATGGAATTTGCAAGTTCTTCGATTTCAATAAACTCAGGATCCCCATTTTCGTCACTCATGATTAATATTTTCTGTTCAGGTGTCATTCCTGGAAGGTGATGTCATTGTAAACTGTGAGAAAGTGGATGATGGTTGGATGACTGGGACAGTTCAACGCACACTACAATGGGGTATGCTGCCTGCCAATTACGTTCAGCCATACAAGCTACCTACTGGACTAGCCAGAATCAAGTGAAGCCTTGATCGCATTTTCTTTCCAGTTTGTCTCACTTTTAGTGTTTAAAAAGGAGTGCATAATGTATCACTCAGCTTTGAGCTCAATTTGATATGTTGATAAGTTGTTAGTCATTTATCAATTCCTCTTTGTTTGCTATTTCTCGCTTTCAATTGGAACATAATTATTGCCGTCATTGCAGACATCGTTCTATTGTTTATAAGGGGCATTCGATAATTGCAAAAATAGTGGCAATCCCAGACTTGCTTGTTACAGCGCTTTACCTATTGCTGTATTCTGTTCCTGTTTTCAGATCCCAGATGCCAGATCTTAGGATATTTATTCTGCTCGTTTAACTTCAAAGGCATGCTCTATATGCTTTGTAAATATATAATAGTCATCTAATTTAAGTCGGGTTCATGAAATGGTCATATACCACTATGACCCATTCGAGCCATTCTAATGTGTTTTGTTACTTAACGAATCACAAGCATAATCTTTTCTTGTTTCGGTCTCCTGACCTTTGCTCGTATATGATTGTCGCGTTGTGCTCCAAATGATTTCGTGTGTGAGTTCTGTATGTTTGAACGATCTTCATGAGATTTCTACGAATTTCCTTACAGGACATGAGACTTTTATCTTTGTTTTTAAGAAAGCGGTACATTTATTTGATTTTATTGTGTGATTGCTGTGGCTTAAGTTCCAACTAATGCTCTGATCTGTCGGTAACTATCCACACTAAGAAAGTGCGCATGAATCGTCATCAGATTCGTTGCCAGGTTTGACGTTGCTCAACAACCAGTATCATGTCCTCATTCGATGATGAGGAACGACGTGCGAAGTACGCCGTGGCACCTAAGTCGGCAAATCATGGAAAGGTAGGATTGGCGTTTCGAAGTGTCTTTATTAAAGAACCCTGGTAGCATCGTAAAAAATAAGTTGTTCATAAAATATCGCGAGGCTTATTGTTCGAAAATTAGAAAAGGGGGGAATGGCGGATCTCCAAAGTTTTTAAAGGGTCAGTTGCTCTTGTTTAGAAGCATCGGTATTGGAGAAAACATGATTCATATTTTTATGAAGAAATCTGATCCAGCTATGAAGAGCATTTTCTTCGGAGCGTATCCTTGGTGTACTCCCCAGCAACTAACACTGGTGAAGAATTAGTGTTTCTTCTATAATACATCAGAATTGAACTGCAATACTGTCCTTCCCAGCTGCAGAGTCTAAAGTGAGGTCCGGGAAGTAAGATTCTTGGCCTGGTCTTACAATTGATCTTTCAATTATAGTTTCCTATTGGGTTGATGCATAATTATTGCGGCTTTTTTCAACAAATTTTATTCAGAGAAAACGATAAAATATTTAACAAAAACACGTTTAAATGATTATTCCGGAGCGTAGACATCCTTCAAGAATGCTTCCCATTTGCTTGGCAGGGATTCCACGGGTGAAGAAGTCACGATTCTTGGAGACGATCCACGCTCTAACATCGGCCACCAAGTCATCCAGCTCGTCGTAAATTTTGTTCGTTTGCCAGTTTTTCAACGACTGATTGAAGTGGTAGTCTGTAGGAGCTTCGGTCGGTAAATATGGCGTTTTGAACCTCTTGAACCATCTTTCAACTTGGCTTTTGCTAATTGTTCCCTCGCCGAAAAGTTCGTTGAGATCGCGAAATGACTCTGCCGCCTTCCAACCTTTCTCGAAGTGGTAGAGCATATGTGGCGAATATGAAGATGATTTTCGATAAGCATTTCTGTTAATGAAAGAGAGAAGAATATTTCATGAAAAATAATAACAAAACGCCAATCTTTTCGAAAAAAGGAAGGGCGAAAAAAATCCGCAATAATTATGCATCAACCCAATACATTTTAATGAAAAATCCATCGGAAAAACCATGCTGTTAGCGCGTTTCTTTATGTCAGATGATAATTATTGCTGAAAAAATGTGCTTTCACATCGTGACCATTCTTTGTCCAGGCGGGAGAACAGCAATGTGCATATTCATCACTTAGTGCTTAATCTACTGTAACCACTGCACTTCGTGTAATTTTCGATCTTTTATCTGATCAGTAGCTGAATAATCTCCTAGAAATTCGATGAATACTAGTGGCATGTTGTTTTCGGATCCCAAGACCATACTTAGATTCTAGAATGGTGATAATGTTGAGCTAATCAAGCAAAACGAACTCACTTGCGGTTTAGGTACTACTTGCATCGCGTGGTACGGACTAGGTTGAATCATTATAGTGTGTGTTCCTGAATTCGCCATTGCATTCCTAGCTCAACCAAAGTGTTGATGCGGTTTCGTGTGGACACTTAAAGTAGACTGAGTGTGCTGAACAAATTTCTAGAACTGGGAACCGGAAGCCGTTCCGTAGGTCATGGAATTGTAGCAATGCGATTACATGTTGCCATCCCAGAT